AAAAAACTGATACAAATCATTATTAATATATATCTATTTTGAAAAACTAACACAAATATATAAGTTTACATTAATAATTTAAGTAAAACATATAATCAACTGACATTAGCATTAATAATCAATGATACTAATATTTTTTTCATTTATAAAAATGATGCAAATAAAATTTTAACTAAACAACTACTTGTCTCACATTGCTAAGAATGATGAGAATACTAGTTTTTTCCTCTTTAAAAGAAACTCATCAACACTAAACTTTTTTATATTAAATCATATGTATGTATTTACATATAATTCTTAGAAGAATAAATATAAAATAATTAGTTATCTTAAATTTATAATATTATAAAAATTAACACAAATTTTTAAATCAATATGAATTTTATTATCCCTAAATTTTAATATATAATATCATTTATTTTAACTGAGTTAAATAATAATATCACTTATAGCAAATGATAGATATTAATATCAATTAATATAAGTGATGAAAATAGCTGCATCATTAATAATCCACTACATATTATTTGAGAAGTAACATTATTGAAAATAGCTTACTTGTCAACACTACAGCCAAAGTTAGTGTTTTTAATTGATGACATGTAAATGTGACATGTCAAACTTCCTAAAATAAACGAAATGTTTTGATTGGTTGAATTAAAATTATAGAAATTATGGAATTAAAACATAAATAAACTAAATTATATTTATAACACTAAAATTAACAAATTCAAATTAATCAAAAATAAAGGCTATTATAATTTCAATTTTTTACATATATTCATAATTTCATAAAATATAATTACGAATTTGTTTCAATAATATATATATATATTATAATTCATATATAAAAATAATAATATTAAATTATCCAATAGAATTTTAAAAATTCTATTTATTAATAATACTTTAAGTATGATATATTTTAATTTCAGAAAGTTATTAATTTACAAAATATATTAATAACATCTAAACAAGTTTTAAATAAACAAATTATTAAATAATACAATTTTTAATAAAATACAATCATGATAAAAAATATTTTAAAGAATAAAATGTTAAAAATAATAAAAATAATTAACTTTTATTGAATTTTTTTTAAAACGTAATTTTAAATTTTCTTTTCAAACCAATATTACTAAATAAATAAAGCATATACTAATTATTATTTTATAATATTAATAGGACCATATATTTTTCTATAACTTTATCATTTTTATTATTGTTTTCTTAAATGTACATAACTTATGTTACCATCTCATCTTGTCTTTTATCATATTTTAAATAAAAATAAAATTTTATATCATATTAATATACATAAACATAAATTTATTTTCATTGTATATCAAAATTTTGAGATCATAAATGAATTGAAAAATAACCGAACAACGAAAGAATAAATTATAATAAGATGAAACAATATGAATAAGAAATAAAAATAAATCTATCGCCCTTTGTTTTACAAAGTCACTTAAAAAAATTATAACACGTAAGAGCCATATTTTAATTTTTTTACAAATACGCGTAGAGACATAAATATTAATTGTACATTAGTTGAAGTCACATGCGAACTTTTTCGTGCATGTATTTTGTTAAGATTAATTACAGTCTAATATTTATTTTAATTATTATACAATTTATATTTTTAAAAAAATCTTTATCTATTCTAAGTGTAGTGAAGTGGTTGATATGCCCGCACATGCATGCCAACCATCTATCCGCTCTTAGGAATAAGTAAAAATGGTAAAAACTATTTCAGTTAAATTTGCAATAAATTAAGAAAAATATATACTTAAAATATATTATATATGTATTTTCAAATTCATATTATGTAAGACGTAAAAAAACATATTGTAGATTGTGTAAGGAAAAATAAAGCATATTATAGAAATATTCAAAAAATATTATAAGAATTTAATTTTTATTTAACATAATTTTATATTTGTGATTATATATTATTACAAGCATTATAAAAATAAAAAAAATTAAAATACAATGGTTTCATAAACAAGTTTGTGAAATATTAAAACAATATATATACATACAAATATCCTAATTTAACTATGTATATCAAAAAAATTATACCCGCATATATATGCAGGCAACCATTTAGTATTAATATAAATGATTAGCATTACCACTTCGAGAATTATTTAATTAATAATGCAACTGAATTTGCATTAATCAAAAAATAATATTAATACATTAATCAAAAAATAATATTAACAAATAAAATAAATAATACAACATATATAATTTCTTGTTGTGATGTTGGGTACGGTGATCAGACTCGTGACAACACCTCTGGCGTAAACCAACATCATCATCCTAAATGATACCATAGTGTAGCTAACAACGAATGCCACAACAGCGATGATCAAAAGCAAGATCTGCATTAACTGGTTCGTCAATTTCCACCCTTACCAATCCATCTGGAAAATGATAAGAATCTCTGCGAAACTAGATTTTTTCGACGGAAATGGATTTGAGAAAGAAGAAGATAACGACTCCAAAATCGGTTTACATAAACTCAATTAGTTAAACTCAGCCACATTAATTGAATGTTTTTAGTATCTAATAAAAAATGGAATAAGACATTATTACCTTTAATGAATTTTTGAAATTGTCCACTAACTGCAGTGGCATATTTAATAAAGATTATGGCAGGAATTAGACATTTTTAAAGTATGTTTCTCTTTTAATATAGTATTGATAATTGTTATAATATTCATCATCATCATAGTTACTAGGCATAGACATTTTACACACAAAAAAAACCATTCAAATGTTTATGAATATGCGGTTTAGTTCAATTCCTACCACTTTAGTTCGCTTTCTTGATTCCTCCCAGTTTCGTTCTGTTCATTTGGTTTCAAGTAATTTACCTAGACCTAATCATACCACTAGTCCACTATCATTATCATTATCAAATTAACATCATAATGGTACAGCAATTTTGAAGTAGATGGATGATTCTTAAAGGAACAACAATAGTCTCATGGATCTCTTACGTACCAAGAATCTATAGCGATATAATACAAAATCGACCACTATTAGACTCGTAAGATGGGAGGAATTCGTATTAGAAATGATTGAGTCCCATACGAAAAAAATCAATGTGTAATTGTGTATATAAACACAGAAATGACTATATGACATGATGCAATGGTTTTTTTTCTATCTGTAATTTAACAATCGCTTATTTCTAGTACCTACATAATACATTACATACAAAGGTTATAACAAACGTTTTAAAGCACAATGCATAGATGTTAAAACAAAAATTTATGTTAAACTTTTTTAGAAATAGCTCAGACCAGAAAAAAATATATAATACTAGAAATGAATTTTGAGGTAAAATATTATTTTTACATACAATTAGTGAGTTTTACGTAGGTTATTGTTTTATTATTAATGTAATGAAGTTTCCAGTCACTACAATGGTGATGTGGAAAACACCATAATCTCGAGATAAAATAAAAAATGCACCCCACCGACAGTGTATTCGTCGAGTTAGGGGAGGTGTCTTAGTCATCCACCCAACCTCAGCCAATTGCTTTACTCGTAAACAAAGTATATGGAATTTAGAAATGGACAAACTGGTATATTTTCTTAAAACGGTGGATAAAATATTTTATTAATTTTAATTAATTTATTTTTTTAAAATATCTTCATATTAATTTTTTTTTCTTTTTTACAGTAAAATATGATAAGAAAAATAAATAAAAATAAAACAAACCGAACTTAAATTCCAAAAAAGTCTGACTTAATAACATAATCTAACCAAGGAAAATCCAAAAACCGGAATGAAACGGAGACACGAAACCTTAAAACGACAAAAGACCTAGAGCCACCACCGCCGCGATCTCGAACACCGCTCAAACGGAAGACTAAGTCAACAAAACCCAAATAACTACGTCATGAACCGAGATCCAGAGCCACCAAGAGAGCCACCAAAGTGGGAGAAAATCTTCGCCACGCTTTTAAGACCGCCTAAAAAGCTGTCGCCGGGAAAACTCGCCAAAAAAGAAACAAAAAAGGACAAAAAATCGCTAATAGCATAGACCCGATCACGCCCTAAGCAAGGACAAAAGAGAGATCCAAACTACACCTCGCTATTGTCAGTCCGCCTCACCACCGAGAACTCTCTCAAGATCCACCGTCGTCTCCGAGCAGTTAGAAGACTTGAAGAGAAGAACTGGTGGTCCTGCACCACCAAACGCCTCTTCACTGAAACCTGCATCCCTTCGGTCTGCCATCCACAACCACAACCACAACGTCGGAGAAACCGAAAACCCGCTAAGCGGAAGACCATATCAAGAAATTGTCGGCAAAAACACTTGAGGACGCCTCACCAGATCTGGTCTTTAACAGATCTGGATCCGCATGAGTGCCGCCACCCTAGATCCACCGCTGAGTCGCTGCAACAGAGGAGAAAAACAAAGTTCGGCCACCAAAGCTGGTTAGGAAAGTCATAAACCCACTGATGAAGAATTTAAAAGTAAAAAATAAAAAAGAAACGAAACTCTCTCACAACGTCGACGACGCGGAAGAGTAAAAGCGGAAATTTTTTTTATGTATCTTCAAAAGAGAGTCTGTCAAAATCCGCATGTTTTTTATTTTAATTATTTCGTTCAATGGTTAAAATAAATAAAATTAATACATAAAATTTTCCAAATGTTTTATTTCAAAACTTTAATAATAGTTTAAAGAAATTAGTTTACAGATTTATTTTTTTATACGATAAAAAGGGCTAGTTTACAGATTTACTTGCTTTAGATGAAATATTTATTGCTGAAAAAATCAAATATTTATTATGCCTTTGTTGCCGTTTACAATCATGGTTGGCGAAAAATCATTTATTTATAGCTTCTCATTAAATGGCATTTACCAAATTAACCTGTTGGCCGGAAAGCTCAATCATGGTTGGCCAAAAAAAAATGTCCAAAATTAGAGTTAGCTGTAACGTAACATGTAGAAATAAACCGACAAACATATAATATTTAGAAAATATGAAATTGCAAAATAATGATTGAAGTGAGACATAAAAGGAAAAATAAAAAGAAGAGAAAGAATAGAAAGAATAGAAACCACAAACCACATGGTGTTTTTTTCGTCCATTATTGACTAAAGCTTAGCTCACATTTTCTCTCACACTACAACTACAAACTCTTTCTCTCTTCCTCCATCTTCCACTCTCTCCCCCTTCTCAGATCTGATCCTGAAACTCTGATTCACTCTTCTCTCCTGCTTCATCTTAAACCATGTACGGCCGAGATCCATGGGGTGGTCCACTGGAGATCCATGCCACGGATTCCGCCACAGACGACGATCGTAGTCGGAATTTGAACGATCTAGACCGTGCGGCTCTTTCACGGCCTCTCGATGAGACGCAGCAGAGCTGGCTTCTTGGTCCAACGGAGCAGAAGAAGAAGAAGTATGTCGATCTCGGCTGTATAATCGTTAGCCGCAAGATTTTCGTCTGGACTGTCGGTACTATCGTCGCCGCCGCTTTACTCGCCGGATTCATCACCTTGATCGTCAAAACTGTGCCGCGTAACCACCACAAGAATCCGCCGCCGGATAATTACACACTCGCACTTCACAAAGCCCTCAAGTTCTTCAATGCTCAGAAATGTAAGTGCCGATTTGAGATCAGATCTGAAAATTTGGGTCTGATGTAACTTTAAAGATAGATTTAGTCTGATTTTGAAATTCGATGCAGCTGGGAAATTACCGAGGCACAATAACGTATCGTGGAGAGGCAATTCTGGTCTTCAAGATGGGAAAGGTGACGCAAGCTTCTACAAAGATCTGGTTGGAGGTTATTATGATGCTGGAGATACTATCAAGTTCAATTTCCCCATGGCTTATGCTATGACAATGTTGAGCTGGAGTGTGATTGAATACAGTGCTAAATACGAAGCAGCAGGAGAGCTTGTTCATGTTAAGGAGCTCATAAAATGGGGAACTGATTACTTCCTCAAGACCTTTAATAGTACTGCTGATTCAATCAATGATATGGTGTCACAGGTAATGAGAAGAGCTCAGCTTTCTTTGATGTATACATTTTGTCATTTGTTTTGAGTTTGATTGTTTCATCATTTTAACATAGGTCGGATCTGGAAACACCGACGACGGAAATACGGATCCAAATGATCATTACTGTTGGATGCGGCCTGAGGACATGGATTACAAAAGGCCTGTGACTACGTGTAATGGCGCCTGCTCGGATCTGGCCGCGGAGACGGCAGCTGCTCTGGCCTCAGCGTCAATTGTCTTCAAGGACAACAGAGAGTATTCTAAGAAGCTTGTCCATGGTGCTAAGACGGTGTATCAGTTTGCAAGGAGTAAGAGAGGCAGATACAGTGCAGGCGCTGCGGAATCAGCCAAGTTCTATAACTCAAGCATGTATTGGGATGAGTTTATCTGGGGTGGTACTTGGATGTACTATGCTACAGGAAACGTATCATATCTTGAACTAATCACTAAACCCACTATGGCTAAGCATGCTGGTGCCTTCTGGGGTGGTCCTTTCTATGGTGTGTTTAGCTGGGACAACAAGCTTGCTGGTGCTCAGGTCAGTCTACAAGACAACTTACTGTGCTTATTATGTTTCTTATGTTCATGTCCTTTTAACGCTTATGAATCCATGTGCTTTTCAGTTGCTGTTGAGCCGATTGAGGTTGTTCTTGAGTCCTGGATATCCATATGAAGAAATTCTAAGCACCTTTCACAATCAGACCAACATAGTCATGTGCTCATACTTACCTTATTTCAACAAATTTAACAGAACCAGGGGTGAGTTTACTTGCCGGTTATAATGTTTGGCTTCAATATAAAACTCCAGTTGTTGAGCCGGTTCTTGTTTTGGAAATTTTAAAATGTAAAATTTGGTATATCTTCAGGAGGTTTGATAGAGCTGAATCATGGAGACCCACAGCCTCTGCAGTATGCTGCCAATGCAGCTTTCTTAGCGACGCTGTATAGTGATTATCTGGATGCTGCTGATACTCCTGGATGGAACTGTGGGCCTAATTTCTATTCAAACAATGTCTTACGCGAGTTTGCAAGAACTCAGGTAATGCGTCTAAGGCTTTTATCTTTACACAACTGGTAATAATCTCTGATACAGTTTATGGGAAATATACAAAAATAATACTTTTTGACACAGCATTCGCAGAATATCACCTGAAAAACTATTTATTATGTTTTTCACACATACTTTGTTTTTTGTCTTAAATACAAAAGGTCTTGTCAGATTTGGTGATTTACTTTTCGTAATGCTAGTTGTGATCAAAACCAGAGTTGGAATTAACTCATCCTAGCTGTTTTTTTCGCAGATTGATTACATTCTCGGTAAAAACCCTCGGAATATGAGTTATCTGGTGGGTTTTGGCACAAATTACCCGAAACACGTGCATCACAGAGGAGCTTCGATTCCCAAGAACAAAGTGAAATATAACTGCAAAGGAGGATGGAAATGGAGAGACAGCAAGAAACCAAACCCGAACACGATTGAAGGAGCCATGGTTGCTGGTCCTGACAAGCGCGACGGGTTCCGCGATGTTCGTATGAACTACAACTACACTGAACCGACTCTTGCTGGAAATGCTGGCCTGGTCGCAGCTCTAGTGGCATTGTCGTCGGGTGAAGAAGAGGCCTCTCGTACTATAGACAAAAACACTATTTTCTCCGCTGTGCCTCCGTTGTTCCCGACTCCGCCGCCGCCACCAGCTCCATGGAGGCCGTGAAAAGGCTAGTCACTGTGTGGTTATGTTCCTGCGCCCAGAAGGTTAGATATGGGCTCCTCTAAACACAAGTCAACCATAAACAACTACTAAGGATTTCATTTGGCTTTACTAGATGCAAACCCTGTGTGGGTAGCTTACGACGAGCATTTTGTTTTTGTTTTTGTTTTTTTTTCTCTTGTTTTGGGTTGCCCTTTTGTTCTTGTGAGATATATCATATATCTATGCGTTTTACTCTGTATATGTTTGATACCAACTTGTATTCTTTCAAAAACAATCGAATGAACGTCTTAAACTTAGAAAGTTTCATGTCCAGTTTTATGCTTTTCGATGAGATTAGGAATAGGCAATGACTAAATTACTTCTCTCAAAAGAAGGAAATGAAATTGTAACACCCGTTACTTTTTATGCCATAGCTGTTTGGCAAATTATCCATTAGATTCGATTTGAAAAATCTAGATATCCATAGTTTTATGGAGCAAAGCAAATACTAAATTTTGATATCCGTTAAAAATGGAACAAATTACAAATATTAAATTTTTAAAAGCCGGATATCCGATCCACTCCGATATACATATATATGTGTATATATAAATAATTTTATATAGAATATATAGTTAATATAATTATATCTAAATTTTTGTGAATTTATATTCATTTTATTAGTTATTTTAATATGAAAATTTAATGAATTAAAAAACACAATTTAAAGTTTAATATATAAGTTAATTTTTGACTTTTTAATTATTTTTATAATTAATTTAATATTTTTGAAACGGATCAGATATCCGGTCAAAAATCTGGATTTTAAAAGATATCTGAATATCGGATATCCGATTAGTAACGGAGCAAATACAAATCAAAAAATTGTTGATCCGGATGGGGCAGAGCGGATCACGGATATCACTAAAATTCCGGATATCCGCTCTGTGTCCATGCCTAATTATAACCATCCTAAAGAGGTATAAAGGGGGTAGAAAATATACTTTGAGAAAAAAAAGAGAGGTCAAAAATTAATTATTTAGAGAGTATAATTATCTACTAGGTGATTGGTCTGCACTATATGCGGGCTATAAAATATTTTATATGTTGAATATATAATTAATACTAGGTAATAACCCGCACCCTATACAAGGTGAAATAACGATTATTTATTTAGATTTAATATAATTTTAAATTATATAATATAATATAGTTAAATTTATATAATTTTTATATAATATTATACCATAACATTGACAATTTAGTTTTTTTTGTTTCTTATGAAATATAAAATAATTTAATTGTAATGTATATTAATTTAAAAATTAAGTAACATGCATAACACATGATATAGCTGGATAAAAATATAAAGTTACCATACAAATTTTCTATATCCTGTGATTGATGATATTATTCATTATTTCCACCAATGTCCAAGATTCAGATATATAATTTATGTCCATATTTAATTACTTTTAACTATTATTAAATAATTAAATATTATTAGTTAAATAGTTTGTTACTTATCTATTAAATATTATTAGTTAAATAAATTATTAATTTTTCTGGTCCCAAATTGGACTTGTTCAAAATATAATACAAATCGATAAGATAATATTTTTTTTAAAAAATTTATATAAATATATGGTTCTATTAATATCATAAATTAATAATTACCATAAAATAATTATATATATAAGTATGATAATTTACTAACATATAAATATATAATGGTTTGTTTATCTTAAAATTGAAATAATGTTATAGTTTATCTACAATTTAAAAATAAAATATTTAAAGATATCATTAACTTTAACAACAAATATAATTTCTAATTAATTATTAATAAATCATTTATTTAATTCCAAACTGATAAATTTATAATTCTATAAATTAATAAAATATTGAAATCACAATATTATCAATTTATACAAAATTACAGTAATTGGATTGATAATTTAAAGCCGACAAACTAAGAAAAAAAACATGAACAAATCTTCCTAAAAATTTGATACTGTATATGATAAATCAAACATTAATTAAAAAATAAAAAATTGATGTTGGTACTATCTTACCAAAAAGAAAGTAAGCAATAATGCTATATACCATATTTGTCATCTAAGAGTCATATATAAATTAAATCATAATGTAATATATCATATTTCCTTATATAGTAAATCTGAATATTAATAATATATATTATAATAATTTTAGAAATTCGTCATTATGACTTTTTTTAATTGATTCTTGTGACGAAAATAATATATATTTTTAATAGTATATTTTTGTATATATTATTATGAATTGTTAAAATATATAAACTTAAAAATATCTAGCTGAAAGTATTATATATGTTTTCATAATTATTTTCATGCATGCTATAATTACAACAATATGTGAATAAAATCTTATGGCTTTCTTTTATTTGTTCTGATTTATTTTTGAAAAAATAAAATATTATTTTTAATTATTCTGTTGTATTTATAAGAATATTTTTAATAAAAAATTAATGAACATATTTTCTAATAAAAGTAGTAAACATTAGTAAAGTGTTATATATTTTGTTATGAATTTGAAGAAATTAAAATATTATTTTTAATTTTTCAGTTGTATTTATAAGAATATGTTTTTATAAAATTTCAATAAACATATTTATTTAAGTAGTAAACATGAAAAGTATTATATATTTTGCTATGAATGATAAAAATAGTAAACATTAAAAAATATTATATATTTTATTATGAACTTATAATAAAATATATACGGATAATATTTTAAAAATATTATATAATAAATTTTGTGTATATTATAATTAGTATTAATATTTTTTATTTTATTAAATTATTAATTCCAATATTATTGTATTTGAATTTATTTAAAAAATAAAACATAATATATTTATGAACCTAAAATATACAATGGCATATCATGTAATTAGTCTAGTAATCTAAGTCTTTTTAAAAAATTAGCTGAGAATGAATGTGGGGTTGACACATCAGCAAAATAGCACCACTGTAAATACTTACAAAAATAAGGTTATTCTTTAAAAATGATTCTCTTTTAATATATAGGGAATTATATATTAAAATGCTCTATTTATATTATTAATTATGTATTAATATTTACATTTAATAATAAAATTAACAACAAATGAAATACAAAATGTGATAGAACTTAATAGAACGTGTAGACAAAAAAATATTAATCAAGAATATAAATTGGTTCCTTCAATAAAAAATGTAAATATAATAACTAAATAAACTGAAACTATGAAACATATAAAGTAGAGTTTACAAATATAAAAAGCATAAAATTAAAAAAAAAAAATTGAAACACTTCCTTATAGACGACGTTTTTACTTTTCCTTCTTTGTCTGTGATGAAAACCTTAAGTCCAAATCTAGACTTAACTCTAGATAATGCAATATATAGCTGTCTATGAGAGAAAACTGGTCTAGGTAGAAACAAACTGTCTCAAGTGATTGTCCTTGACTTTTGTTGATAGTCATTACGAAAACTAAAGCCAGAGGGAACTGTCTACGGTGCATTCTGAAAGGAAACCTTGTATCTGGTGGTGTCACATACATCCTAGGGATTAGAACTATTTGACCAATCATTTTCTCATTTCCTGTTATAATTCTACCTTCAACCACATGTCAAGCCATTTGAGTAATAATAAGTCTAGTTCTATTGCATATTCCACCCAATATATGTTACGAAGACACAAGACAGGAGCACCAACCTTTAATTTCAAGCAATGCTTCGGTAATCCAGAAACTTTGATGCTATTCAAAAACTCAGTTGGGTAGTCCACATTTTCCAATGTATTTTTATCTGAAGAAATAATGCTGTCAGAGCTAAGGTATACTTTCTCATCACCTGAGATATTTATATAATAAGAAAATCAGTTGTGAACATACCAAGAAATCCATAAAAACAATTTTGAAAAAGATAAAAAGTTTTGGAATGCTAAAATGTTTATTATGACTACAATGATATTATATTAACTTAATTATTTTAACATCAAATTAAGAAAATAGTTTTATATTTTTTCAACCAAACTTAAATAGAAATAAACAAAATGGTATCACAGTTAACTAAATTTTACGTCTATTTTAATTTATCAGATATATTATGAATGCATTATATAATATGGTAAATTTATGAAATTAAACCAAAAAAATAAATGTATGATAGGATATTCGATATTTACTTTAACCAATCTATAATAAACTGGTTATTTTATAAATTTTGTAATAATCAGTTTTTCGTAAATTAATTATAAAATACCGAAAATCTAATTTAGTAGATTAATCGTTTTTTTTGTTTTTTAGTTATATTTTTTCCATCCTCTACCTATTAATTAAGAATGTAGTTTAATGAGAAATGCTGATTTGTTTTAATTTGATTGGTTAAAATCATTTGTCTACCCTAATTAAATATGATATGGAAATGATGATGTGTAATGATGATATAATTGAGACATGGCATTTACTAACACATGTATGATGACATGGCAATTTTTTTTGTGTGATATTTCCATAAATAAAAAAAAATAATTTGATGACAAAATTTAATGTACTAATAACTAAATCTGGAATGATTCGTCGGATGCACTACGAATGGCCTGATATTATTATTCATCTATATGAGTAATATTAGATGAATTTTGGGCTGAACGTGATGATTTTAATATACATATATATTATAATATTATAGATAATACTATATTATACACCTATAAAATTTACTATAGCTCTGTCATGGATCACTGTGACTTTCCATATGTACACATATCTACATATATATTATAATACTATATTCATATAGAATATATGCACATATATTTTCATATACTTCACAGTAGGCAAAATTATAATACTATATTCATATAAAATATATGCACATATATTTTCATATACTTCACAGTAGGCAAAATTATAATAACAAAATCACATTAAACTAATCGTTTACCTAATAATTCATATTTTCTGTAAAGGCGGTGCTCCATTTTCGTGCACATATGTTTTCACATAGCTCAGTTGGCAAAAATAATAACAAAATAAGATATTATTGTGATCTTCTGTAGAACATTCAAAATTTAAAATTAGTTTAGTTTAAAAATAATAACAAATATAGATATAAGATTTCGATTTAATAATCCTCTACGTATATTTTTTTTAACAAACGTTAGATAAAAAAATCAACGTGCATCTAATGAAAACCAAAATTTTAATCCTCTACATTATTTAAAAAGTTTAATGTCCATTTAATAAAAACCAAAAAATCTATATAAAGTCACGTTCATCCCAAATAACTACGTAATAAAAAAATTAAATACTCGG